AAAACTCAAGACTTAAATTTGATTAAGCATGTTAGATCTGAGTTTGCATCACATAACTAACTTGTACTGAGTTGTAGGTACTTATGGTTTCCCTGGGATGCAGTGTGGAAGGAGTTGTTTAGAGGGAGGGAGGGAGGGAATTAAGAAAAGAAGAAGGTGAGGAAGAAAATGTTTCTGACTCTGAGACTAGTTCCTCCAGCAATCTTATCCTGCTGTGCTACAGGGCAGTTTTCAAAGGCCTGGAGCATATCTTGTTCAGCTCCAACACAGAGTAGATAGGTACCTGACAAACGCTGACCACAGGCCTAGAGCTCAGCACTGAAGTAACTGCTCAAATGTTCTAAGGCAAGGACAAAACCGCCAAGAAAATGCACTTTGCCTTTTCCTTATTTTCTAATCACCGCAACTCTGCTCATTACCTCCTTTCCTGCACTGATCTGGATGAGTTTCTAAACAAACTCCTTTAAAACACAGTAAGAAAGGAAAAAGCAGAAGGCAGACACTCCTGGTCTTGGAGGTAGTGTTGGGGGCAGGTCAAATGCAGTTAGTTCTGAGCAGGATGCAGTTCTTACAGAATCACACTGATACTTCTCAAAGACCGGGTAGTGTCTGCTCCTAAGTTAGTTGCTGACAGTTCCCTGGATCATCTAACACTTCATTAGCAAGTCTTTTTACTACTGGTTTAATTCAAACAGGCCACGCCTAATCTTAATTAAACTTGAACTTATCCAAGCTCTCCTATACCAGTAAGGGATTTACCTAGGTTCTTTAAAAACTAAGTGCAGGGGCCACACTGATCTTCTCTGTATTATTCCAATTTTTAGTATATGTGTTGCTGAAGTAGCTAGTGCATGAACTGGTATTTTGGAGCCCATTCCCTAAGGTGGAATACCTTGCTGAATCTAGTGGTGGGGGTGATTTGGTCCTGCCTCAAAGTGGTGATGTAACAGACTTTTTTGACTCCCCATGGGAGGCCTCACCCACTTTGAGGAGTGGATGGGGGGTGGGCTAAGTGAGGGGAATGGAAGGTGGGGGAGAGGGAGGGAAGGAAAATGGGAGGGGAGGGAGGGGGGAACCAGGATTAGTATGTAAAATAAATTGTTTTAAAAAATAAAAAGCTAGGTGTTGGTGGCGCATGCCTTTAATCCCAGCGCTGGGGGGGGGGGCGCGCGTGCGCAGAGGCAGGAGGATCTCTGTGAGTTCGAGGCCAGCCTGGTCTACAGACCTAGTTCCAGGACAGACACCAAAGCAATACAGAAAAACACTGTCTTGAAAAACCAAAAATAAATAAAATAAATAAATAAAAATAAACACCCCCCAAAGATTCAATAAAGTTTTTAAAAAGATAGTTCTTTAAAAAAAAAAATAGAGAAAGAAACTGGGTGCAAACAGTAAGTTTTCTACATATAAAGTGACTTCTGCAATCCTTGTAAAAGCTACCTGTTACAAGTATGGAGTTTATCTTTGATTTGGCTGTTCTGGTAGCATCTAATTACAAAAGCAAAGTACTGTAAATTATTTTACATACAAGTGCAGTTCTGAAATTTTTTTTAATCACTTAGTTGATTTTTCTGTGTATTTTATTTTGATTCATAAAAAGATCTTGTAGCTAAAATCCACCACAGAATATGGTCAGCAATGTGCGAAGGAAAAATTAGCTTTTAAAATGTCTGGTGGACTTTTCAGAACTTCCTAGGTCTCACTTTTTCTGCCCAGCGGCCTGTTCTAACTTGATATTGCTATTGGAAGAAGGCCACTGGCAGTACAATTTCCATTCACAAAAAAATGCCAGCAGTTTTAAGGGGATATGGGAAGGACAGCTCATCCTCCCTGGCCAGCTGCAGCTTTTCTGAATAGCACTTTGAACTTCATTTCAAGCAGGATTTATTGTGCTGAATGAATTCTTTTAAAGCTCTATTATAAAAGTAATACCCACATAGTAACATGGAACTTTAACAGTACAGAGTATTATCAAATAAAAACCGTCTCTTCCCCAGCCCCCACAGTCTCACTCAGTAAGCAGTAATGGTTTTGTTACAAATCTGGCTTTTCTGGTTGTAAATTCCACAATGGTAAATCTCTTTGTCTTCTCCCATCATCCTCGGTAGAGTCTGGGAAAATCCTTCATCTTTCCAGTATAGTTTCCTCAGTGAATCACCACCAATATGCATAATATTACCCTCCTTCCCTTTCTGAGACAGAGTCTCTCTGTGAACAGTATTGGCTGTCCTGGAACTCCCTCTGTAGACCAGGCTGGCCTCAAACTCACAGCAAGCTGCCTGCCTCTGCCCCTGAGTGCTGGGGTTAAAGGTACGCACCACCACCACCCAGCTCACTATCACTATTTCTAATCCCTCTTTTGGCTAGTTATCTTCATAAACTTAAAAACACAAATGCAGAGTTTGTTTATAAACTTATGGTGGATTCTTGGTTCTTTATTAAGTACAGTAACAGTATAAGTACACTGAAGTCCTGGGGAAATAACTTTTTTTTTTTTTAAACACTGTTGTTTTGTTTTTGATACAGCCTTGTTCCATAGCTCAGGCTGGCTTTGAACTCACTAAGTTAACCAGGCTGGCCTCAATCTTGCAGCAATCCTCTTGCCTTAGCTTTCCAAGTACTGGGACCACTGGCATTTGCTAGTATGTTTTGCTGAGGAAAGAATTTAGAAGCCTCTAAATATGTCTGCCAACTCACTGCAAGGTATCCAGATTAACCTTACAAACACACAGTGGAGACAAGCAAGATCACTCTGTAGTTCTAGTAACAGCTCAAAATAGCTGATAACCTAAACACCAACAACAGAAGGAACAAAAAATGCTACTCTAATACTGTAAAAGTGGAAACAAGTGATGAGACCCTCACACTCAACACAACATGATTCATTCATGTAACACAAATCACAGTCCTCATTCTTGGAATCTTGTCTATTTCTACAAGTATAATAGGATGTAAAATTTCAGGTAGCAGAACCTACATGATATTATTGAAAACAGGAAAAATTATATTGTGTCCTTGACTCATCCCAAACTCCTCTACCATGCAAACCATTTAATTATTATTAAATACCCACAGAACGGTCTAACTGCTTTAAGCCCTACAAAGCTGAGAACACTGCATGGATTTCGAACGACACTAACAATATGAACTCTTCCCACTTGTGCAACAGGCCTTAGTGTGGCGTTTCCTTCGGATGTAAAGACTGCCTTTGCACTGAGGTTCCCCTGCATCTTCATGGGCATAGGGCATGCCAAGTAGGGCGACAATATGGCACAACACTTTTAAACAACTTAAGCAGACAGGTGCTGAGTCTCCTGAGGAAGGGTTGAAATATGACTCATGCTCTTAACAGCCTTCTCCTCCTCCTCAGACCCCCTCAGACGAACACCCACCTCACAACTCTCATGGTGTGCAAGGAAGGTTCATGACAGTGGTTTTAATTCAGCTAAATAACTTAAAAATTTCAAATTACTACAGCCAGCATGGCAAGCCTCCCAACAGTCAGTGAAGAAGCAGACAGCTGACCCGAGTCCCTAACCACTTCAGTCTTTCTGGCACTGGAATCTTCTAAGCTGTGGGGCATAGACTCTTCCAGATACTGTGGGCAAAACTAAACTTTCTTCTTGAACAGGCAAATTCTAAAACCAAAGCTGTCTACACTATTTCCAAAAGTCTCTCCATAGAGAAAACAGGATCACTTACAGATGAGAACAAATATAAAGTCAGTTTTGGTTTCAGAAAAGTCTTTGTCAAAACGAGCTATCCTATTTAACTGTTTCTAGTGCAGGCTGTAGCCCATCTATAGTGCAATGTATTACAGAGTGGAGAGCCCAGGGCTGAGCAGGTGAAATCTGTCAGAGTCACAATGCCTCAGAAGTAGCAAGAGAACAAGTTAAATTAAGTTCGTGTCATACTGCTAGTAGAAAAAGCTTGTTATTGGGGCTGGAGAGTTGGCTCAGTGGTTAAGAGCACTGGCTGCTCTTCCAGAGGACCTAGGGTTCAATTCCCAGCACCCACATGGCAGCTCACACTGTCTATAACTCCAAGATCTGATATCTTCATACATGCAGGCAAAATACCAATGCACATAAAAATGAATAAATTAAAAAAATTTTTTTTAAATGTTATCTCCTTTGTTTTTGATTATGAGCTAGGCTCAAGATACATAGCTGAGGATGACTTTGAATAACTAATCCTTTTGTCTCTGCTCCCAAGTGCCAGGATTACAGACTTGTGTTACAATGTCCCATTCCTGAAAAGACTTTCAAAAAAGTAAAAAGAGCAAAACCAAATTATTGCCCTTTCATAGTAACTGGACAATACTGCCCTCTGGTGATACAGATTAATAAACAAGGCAACATCTTTTATTGTTCATTTCAGTTATGTTTAAGTAACTGCATCTCTTTTGAATGCACATCCCACCAATGACAAAAATTTGATTTAAGATGACCTTCATTATGTATTGTTCATTAAATTAGAAACTTTAAAAAGGTTTTAAATCAAGGACATTTTCTATGGAAACATACTATTGCTGATACACACATCACTATGTAGTGAATTACATTTCCACGTAAAATGATGTGATTGAGAAAGACCATGAAGGGAAATGCCCTAAATTAAAAGCACAGTAATACAGCAAACAAAGTCTTATGAGTAAAATCAGGAGAGGTGGTGGTGGCGCACACCTTTAGTCCTAGCACTTAGGAGGCAGAGGCTGTGAGTTCAAGGCCAGCCAGGCTTACGTAGAGTTTCAAGTCAGCCAGGGCTACATAGACCCCGTCTCAAAATAAACAAAACAAAACAAAACAAAAAAAAATTCCACAGGAGGAAGCCTGTTCTCAAAGAGTATGTATCTAACACGTGGCATCTATGGAAACCAATGTCTCACAGTGGGCCCACTGGAAATCTGACTCCTAATTTAGGAGAAACCTCAACCAAAGATCACAGTTGGCTGCTAAGTTTTTACTAAGCCAAGGAAATGCTTCCTGAAAAGGACCTACCAAGGCTGGTGCCATCCTGCCCCATGATGCACTTCATGGAGGTGATGATCTGCTCCATCACAGGTGGTGACATTGACGTGGCATACACAGCACTGTGAGAATGTGTGCGCAGGTAGTCTATCAGCTCCTGCGGAAGCAGAGGCAGATATTTAGAGGCAGTTCCTTCCTTCCAGGTGCTATACAGAGCCTCAAGGTCAACCAACACCATCATGGATCACAGCTGCCCAACAAGGATGTCAGAAACAGCAAAGTCTTTGGTTTTGCTTTGGTTTTCAAATTCATTTAGAAAGGGTCACTCTGAATTTGAAGAACAAATCATTTGATATTACAGTTTGGTATACAGAGATGAACTAAGAAAAGTGCTTAACTACATGTCACTTGTGTTCCACCCTATACATACACAGCCACCCATACATCCTAAGTAACAGTTTTCCTGGCCTGGAAGTGTTATCACTCAGTGATGTAGCAAACACTTGGCAGGTGTGAGATCCCTGAATTCAATCTGTAGCAGTCTACCCCTCCCAATATTCTTCAGAAAGATTCATAAATTGATACATAAATTGGCAGAGATTCATTAAGTCATTAAAATACTATCACTGAGTAAAATAAATTTTAATCATCCTTATGATTATAAAAATAACAACTGATTTTATATCGGCTTTGATTATTTTCCTGTACCTTTTAATATCATTTAAATCTTTAATTTTTTAAATTAAAAAATCTTTAATTTTTTAAAAGACTTATTTTATGTACATGAGTTTTTTTGCCTGCACTTGTGTATATCTACCAAGTCTGTGTGTGTGATCCCTATACACTCTGGAACTGGAGTTATAGATAGCTGGAAACCGACATGTGGGTGCTAGGAACTGAATTCAGATCTTCTCTAAGAGCAACAGGAGCTCTTAGCCGCTAGCCAATTCTCTAGATCCTCACTGAAATCATTTCTGAGTTGTTGTTGTTTTGTCTTTTTCAAGACAGGGCTTCTCTGTGTAGTCCTGATGGTCTTGGAACTCATCAATCTGTAGATCAAGTTGGCCTCAAATTCAAAGATCCATCTGCTTCAGCCTCTGAAGTGCTGGGATTAAAGTCATGCACCACCACCACCACCCAGATTAAATCTTCCAAAATAAAATCTAGACAATAAGAATCTGGTGTACTATTGGGTGTGATGGTCCATGCCTATAACTCTACTTTCTGGACGAGGCAGGAGGACTGCGCGTCTAAAGCTAGCTACAAGTGAGACTATGTCTTAAGTGGGGTAAGCAGCAGCATCCGTGCCAAAAACAGTAAGAAGACACAAAATACAAACTGTGAAGTAGGCTGTTGCTTCTAAAACTCTCAAAATTGTACATCGAAGCACAAATGTGTTGTATCAATTCAGAAATGACACTATATGATTTATTATCCTTTAATTCATAGCAATATATTTTATTTTTTAAAAAAGTCAGTTAACTTCCAAAGTTCTCCTCATTAATAAAAAGGTAAAAATTGATAATAAAATCTATCAAACCTGATTAGAAGCAACTAAAAGTGGGTCTTCCTGATGGGTGGTGGCACACACCTTTAATCCCAGCACTTGAGAGGCAGAGGCAGAGGCAGGTGGATCTCTATAAGTTTGGGGCCAGCTTGGTTTAGAAAGTGAGTTCCAGGACAGCTAGGGCTGTTACACTACACAGAGGAACCCTGTCTCTAAAAACAAAACAAAACAAAACAAAAACAAAAACAAAAAAAAAAAAAAAAAAAAAAAAAAAAAGGGAAGGGAAGGGAGGAAGGAACGGAGGAAGGGAGGGAGGGAGGAAGGAAGGAGGTCTTTCTAAAGGCGATCAATTATTAGAAGAATGTCTTTATTCTGTCATCAGTGTCCTAGTCTTCGCAGGAAGTCACACAACACAGAGGTAACTGGATGTACAGCTCTGGCAGAAATTACTAGCACAATCCCAGGTAGTTAGACTGAGGCCAATGCCTAATAAGAGTAGAGGTGTTTTTGTGAGGACTATGAACGACGCCTGCATAGGTACACCACACACAAACCAGACTCAAGTGTGCACAGGTGTTATGCAATGTTTCATGCAGTAAATGGCTTTTCTACACACACTTCAATTCACAGCAAGAGTGCCACAGACACCTAAAAGTAAAGAGAGCACTGATGCTAGGCAGTGGCTCAGGCCTTTAATCCCAGCACTTGGGAGGCAGAGGCAGGTGGATCTCTGTGAGTTCAAGGCCAGCCTGGTCTACAGAATGAGTTCCAGGACAGCCAGGCTACTCAGACAAACCCTGTCTTGAAAAACAAAAACCAAACACAAACAAGATGGTCACATATTTTCCTTACTTAAAGACTTCCACAACTTCTTGATCAAGTCATCTGAGGTCTGTTTCAAAGCTAACTTGAGAAGTTCTGCTTCTGGGGTTACCTGACTATTCTATTCATTCTATCCAACAAACACTTTTAAGTACCAAACAATTTGACATTAAGGAAGGGCAGAACCTGGTATCAGGTCACAGATTCCTCTCTCATGCGTGGCCTCCCTTTCAATAATACCATCTTCCACGTATTCCGCTCATGACCTGGGGTGGCACGAGGATCCTCTCAGACCCCTGGTCTGTGCTGCACTGCTGTCAGAGAATCCCTAGCAGCTTGCTGGTCCCTAGTGAATAACCAACAACCAAAGGAAATCAATTAAACCCTTTTGCTCATCACTCCTCCCTCTCTACAACTGGATTCCAGGAGTTTCTCTCAGTGCTTGGCTGTGGATCTCTGCTCTGCTTCTATCAGCTACTGGATGAAGGCTCTAGGATGGCATATAAGGTCTACCCTGTATGCCATTATAGGGGAATCTCATTATAGGGGAAGGGCATTTAAGGTAGCCCCTCCACTACTGCTTAGATTCTTAGTTGGAGTCATCCTTGTGGATCTCTGGACATTTCCCTACTGCCAGATTTCTCTTTAAACCACTCGATCTTCCTGATCCCTCATGTTCTCCCCCACACTTCCTCCTACCTCCCCCGTCCCCATGCTCCCAATTTGCTCAGGAGATCTTGTCCCTTTCCACTTCACCAGGGAACCCTGTATCAAGGCTGAGCAAGGTATCCCACCATAAGGAATGGGCTCTAAAAAGCCAGTCCATGCACCTGGGATAGGTCCTGGTGCTACTGCCAGCACCCCCCCCCAACAGATCAAGTCATTTAACTGTCACCCACATTCAGAGGGTCTAGTTCAGTCCCGTGCAGGTTCCCCAGCTATCATATCAGTCCATAGTCTGTCTGAGCTCCCACTAGCTTGGGTCAGCTGTGGTTTTCCCCATCATGTTCTTGACACCCTCTTGCTCACATGATCCCTCCTCCCTCTCTTCAACTGAACTCTAGGAGTTCAGCCAGTGCTTGGCTGTAGGTTCCTACATTGGCTTCCATCAGTTACTGGATGTAGGTTCTATGATGACAATTAGTCACTAATCTGATTAAAGGGGAAGGCTTGTTCAGATACCCTCTCCATTATTCCTACGAGTCTTAGCTGGAGTCATCCTTATAGATTCCTGAGAAAGCACAATCATAATGCTGTTCACAGCAGCATTATTTGTAATAGCCAGAACCTGTAAACAACCTAGATGCCCATCAAATGAAGAATGGATAAAGAAAATGTGGTACATTTACACAATGGAGTAGGAAGAAGAAGAGGAGGAGGAGGAGAAGGAGGAGAAAAACTACTGAATCTTGAAATTTGCAGGCAAATGGATGAAACTAGAAAAAAACTATCCTGAATAAGGTAACACAGACCCAGACACAAAAACACAGTATGTATTCACTTGTAAGTGGATATTAGATGTAAAGCAAAGAATAACCAGGCTACAGTCCACAACCTCAGAGAAGACAGGTAAAAAGGAGGCCCCTAACAGGGATACACATGGAGGGCCCCAGGAAGGGAAACTAGTTAAGATCTCCTAGGTAAACTTGGTGGGATAGGGGATGAGGGTTGAAGGATGGGAATATGAGGGATCAAAAAGACCAAATTAGGGGAGGGATGGAAGGGAGATAGCAGTAAAGGAGATACCTTGATAGAGGGAGACATTATGGGGAGAAACCTGGTGCTAGAGAAATTCTCAGGCATACATTTTTTAATGATGTTACAATTTTTCTTTCCTTTTCCATCTGAAAGTCAAACTGAGGTCAGAACACATGCCAGCCAGTTCTTCACTACAGAACTGAGGACTGGCCAAGTTCTTTTCTAAGTCATAGTTTTACAGAAACATGTCACATTACACCATTATCAGCTTTGTAAAGTGTACAATTCAATGGATTTTGGCATAGTCAGAATGATGCAATCCTTACCATTACCTAATTTTAGAATCTTTTCATCACCCTACAAGAAACACATCACATCCATTAATAGTTATTTTTCATTTCCCCATCTCCTTAACCCCTGGCAACTACTAATCCACATTCTGTTTCAAAACCTACTCTAGATAAAACAAACAAAAGTCCATTATATAATTGACCTTTTATGATTCACTTCAGTTACCATGTCTGCAAGATGCATCTGTGTTGTAGCTTCGGCACACATCATTTTTAAATCATTACATTACAAGTACCCTCCCCCCCCCCAAAAAAAAAAATTTACTTTTACTGATAAGGACACTAAATAGTTAAAAATGCCTTCCGTAAGATCTCACAAAAACACATTCATATGCAGATAATATTCATGATTTTGAATGGATTCTTTTTTTTTCTTTCAAGATAGAGTTTCATGTGTACTTGCATGGATTCTTAACTGCCTTAGAGGTCATATATAATTTTAAAGTTGAAAAATGGGCTTTACAGTGTATCAGAGCTAACAAAACCTTCTCTTCTTGTTTGTGCATTCTGATGTTCCGTTCCCATTGGCTCCTGCAACAACCCTCTTAGATTGGGAGTACAACTCAAACCCAACATAAGACTGTGGCAAACAGGAAGCACCACTGTGAACTCTTTTACAAAAGAGTGTTCTATATTTCAGACCAGAATGTAGTTTGGAAACAAGCTCAAATGAGCAAACAACAAACAATGAACAGAACCAGCCTTCAGCTCAGCAAGAGACAACAGAGTCACTCCCCAGGCATCTGAAGTAGGAAGTCTACCAGCACTAGAACATGAGCCACAGGCACATCTAGGATCCCCATATCCCATTTCAGGACCCACCTACTACACAGTTCCCAAACCAACAGCTTTCTCCAACTCTAATTGGCCTAAAGTCCTGCTTACCTTCTTGCCTCCAATGTATCCTCCAGCAGCACCGAAGCTCTTTGTGAATGTTCCCATCATAACATCTACATCCTCGGGATCCAGGCCAAAGTAGTCCACCACACCTCGCCCTGAAGGGCCAAGGGCCCCAATGCTGTGAGCTTCATCCAGATACAAGTACGCCTTGTACTTTTTCTTGAGAGCAATCACTTCAGGAAGGCGAACAATAGACCCTTCCATGCTGGCAAAACAGGGTTAAAAAAACACACACTGAGACGTTTTTAACTCTCAAAATTAGCAACTGGCCACTTTGTTTTTAATGCTTTGAGGCTATGGCTTTTCAAAATAAATCTGAAAATTCCACCTCTGGTTTTAAACTAAGTTATGTGGTATACTGACTTGGCAGGAAACAGGAGGTTGACGTCTCAAAAATAAGTGCTGTATTGTAGTTGGTTTTATTTCACAACAGAAAGAATTAAAGTTACAGCTGATTATTTCTGTTTGCTTTTGTGGAGCTAAGGGTTAAAGCTGGGGCCTTGCATATGCTAGGAAAGCACTCTACCAAGTGGGCCACATCTCCAGCCCACAAAAGTCTTCTAAAACTTGCAATTACAAGCAACATTAGATTCTGTATTCAGTATACATGCCTTGAGTTCCTGCCCAGGGATTCTGGCAGTGGACTGTGGCCTAGGATATGTAAGCCAAATAAACCCTTTTCTATGTAAGTTGTTTTGGTCATGGTCTGTATCACAGCAATAGAAATCTAAGGTAGGCTGTCCAAATTAACAAAAGAAAAAAATCTTAAAATTAAAATACAGCTTGGCATGGGAACATATGCACCCAAGAGGCAGAGGTAGGATCAGGAGTTTAATTAATGTCAGTGTCAGCTACATGAGGCCATATCTCAAAAAATAACAAAAAGTAACTTATTTTTATTTATTTTGATGTTTGTTTTTTGTGGGGCTGGAGACTGAACCCAGGGGCTCATGTATGCTAGACAAGAGCATAACCAATATACTAGGGTCTTGCCATGTGCCCTGGGAGGGCCTCAAATTCCACCTGTCTCAGCCTCGTGAATGCTGGAATTACAGGATTGCACTCTTACATCTAGCTTTGTCATTTATTTTTGATAAATTCGAATCTTTTATATGTAAGCTTTTCATAAACAGTAAAATAAAATAACCTCGATAAAAGGATCTGGAAGCTGTGTACTATCCAGACTTAAAGATCTTTGGACTCAGTGCCTCCTGTTTCCAGGTATTTTGAACAAGTCACTGTCTCCTTAATTTCCAGAATGTACTAGTTTATCGAGCCCTTCAGCTGAAAGCTTACATGGCTTTACAGGGCTAGGCCAGAGATAAGCACAGTAGAGTGAGAGTACCTATATATGCCTTCCACAAGGATTAGGATTTTCTTCCAGGGCCTTCTTGTCCGAGGCTGACCATAAACAATGGCATCTTTCAAAAGCTTCTCCAAGCTTTGCATATCTACGGCACAAAGAAAGAATTCAGTCCCAAAGTATCTTTTTCCTAACAGCATTAGAAAAATGAGAATATACGTTTCTTATTCAGTCATTTGCATAACTAGGGATGAGCAGAAAAGACATTAAGATATTGCTTCATTAACTGACATTTAAATGTGACAAAAGTTCAAAACTATCAACAAGATCAAATGACTGGTAATTGACTGAATTAGTTGGCTAGATAGAAAATTACTATTTTTATGTTAAATTCTCAGTCTTTGAATGAGCTTTTTTGTGTTTTTAAAATCCAAACTGCATCTTTAATTCAAGTGATTCATTCAGAAATATGTGTATAAAGACCAAACAAGAATAAGTAAATCACCCCAAACACATATTCCTCCTAAAAAGCAAATATGCATGGGCCTGGAGAGACTGCTTAAAGTTTTAGAGCACTTGTGGCTTTTGCAAGGACCCAGGTTTGATTACCAGTACCCATAGGGTGATTCACAATCATCCATAAGTCTAGTTCCAAGGGATCCAATGCCCTTTTCTGACCTCTGTGATCACCAAGCATGTACATGCAGGCAAAACACTCACAGACAAAACAAATATATCTCTTTTAAAAAGTAATGGAGAATGAACTTCAAAGTGCATGATCTATTTTCTTTTACCCAGGATGCATTCAATAGCTGCTATTAAACAGCCTTCTTTTTGTACTGGTTAAAAATATGCCAGTCATGCAGGGTGGTGGTGACACACACTTTTAATCCCAGCACAAGAGAGGTAGAGGTGAGCACATCTTTGTGAGTTTGAGGCCAGCCTGGTTTACAGAGTTCCAAGACAGGCCCCAAAGCTACAGAGAAACCTTGTTTCAAAAAAACAAACAAACAAAATAATGATTGATAGATGACTGACTGATAGACAGACAGGCAGACAGGCAGATGCATGCCAGTCTGGGACATGCATAAGTCTAAGCTTAAGCCAGCTTGGCAATCAGTTGAGACTGTTCCATGTTCACTCATCAGCTGCACTGTTGAAAGACAGCATGCTTGGTTATTGTTAATAAGGGCCACATTTTCCTCTTGAATGCTTTGAACTTCATGGTTCCATCTCTACAGACTTTATATCTTGAATGACATTTGAAAAACTTCTCCTTAAAATCTAAGCAACATTAAGTCCGAGGTATATGCCATGCTACAGGGAGACTGAAAGTGTGGATGGAAATCAGGATTCACTAGACCCAGTATAAATGAAGTGGAGTTTATTTGGGGAAAAGAACTTACACAGAAAACATGTGACTGTCGCAGCACTCCCACTCCAAGGATGCAGACTTGCCACCCTGACACTCTCTTGCAACCCAAAGAGTCTCCCAAGCCCCATCCTTTCTCCTTAACCAGTCACCTGTAACCACGCCCAAAAGGTGTGGTCACTGTTAACAGGCCTGGAGGTGAACATATCGCTACAGGATATCCTACACTATAAGCTTTGATTCTGTGTTCTTATCTGATTGTTGAAAGAGAGAGTCAAAATTGCACGACTTTGTCCTTCTTATAATCGAACTTTGATAAGAAAGGGAAAGAATGTGCTAAAATCACACAGCAGGATAGCCAAAGGTCACAACTGTGTTATAGCTTTCAGTATTTGCAACACAGAAATCAGCACACTGCTTAACCAGAGCAGTGAATCTGCCTGACCCAGAGCAGGAGACAAGTAAGTCTGTACTCACTATTGTTGTTTCCTATGTTTATATACAGAAAGGAGACAGAAAGTAAACAGTGATTCAATATTTTAGACAAAAGAAAGCTAACAGGAAAAAGAAAGCTGACTGTGGCCGTGCACAGCTACAGTCCTAGTACACAGGAGGTTGAAACAGGAGAACGGTCTAGGCTGTATGGTAAATTCCAGGCTAACAACAAGACCCTGTCTCAAAAGACAAGCAAGCTACAATAGCGAAAAGTCTACAAACTGTAGACAAAGGGAATGCTTGGGCAGGTTACCTACTTAGGAAAACTATTTACATCTTTCTTCCATCATATATGCTACAAGTTCCCTGTAAATTCAAAATTTACAAGTGCCACAAAACTCCCACAGGAAAATGTGAGAAAACAGGCCCCTTTAATGAAGAAATATTAAATACAATTGAAAAGTCAAAGACATTTTGATGAGTCAAACTAAGAAGACGTTTAAATACAAATAGTGTGGCATAAAAAGAATATAAAGAGCTCCTACAATCAGTAAAAAGACATCAGCTTGAAAAAAAATTCTACAAATACAATAACTGCATAAAAATTTGCTCTACAGCTAAAAACAAACAAGACCCCAAATACTGTGTCCTTATGAGGTTCAGGAAGATTTAAAATGACATATAACAGGCCATGCTGGTAAGTGAGAACAAGTGACCAAATCCATGCTTGTTATTTGGAAAGGCATTTAAAAACGTACACCCTTTTCACTGGGCACTCTGAGGCTGCTCAACATCAATCAGATGATCTTGCAAATATGTGAGTGGAGTGCTGTTTCTAGTTTAAAAGTTGAGCTACGGTTTATTTGGACACATCACATTTAAAGATAAGAAGAGTCAGAGGTAGGTATGGACAAGGGGTTCACAATATTTATGGCTACAAGTTTCACAATGATGAAAAAGTGTCAATCACATAAATCAAAACACTGTTCTAGTCTCACTGTAGAAATTTTACATAAGATAAAACAGAAAAAGAAATAAGTTATTGCCACTGTCAAATCTTCGTTCCAGAGGTACAGACCTTAATATTTTGGTATTATATTATTCTACAATATCATCTACATATGGACATTATGGCAAAAGAAGATATTTAAAATACAGCTGGATCTTTATCATTACGTGTTTTAAATTACCAAGCTATGATTTTATACATTTTTTTTATAAAAATAATGTTTCTAATATTGATTTGTGCACTTTAATTTTTTAAAACTATTATTTATGCACTTTAAAAAACAGTGCCCAAAGGTATTTCCACTCAAGGAACAACTTTGGCTTAAAGTCACCATTCCCTACCATCTCTGTATATTACTGCACAGAACATTTTGTCTGTTCTTTCTTTTCTTGTACATGTGTATATAAGTATGTGTGTGGTATGTGTATATATATATTGGTGCATATACATATATGTGCAGGTACACATGCACATGTAGGTATCTGTAGAGGTCAGAGGTTGATGTCATGTGTCTTTCTCAATCATACTCCACCTTATTTTTTGAGACATGGTCTTCCCTGAACTTCATGAATTGAGCTAGATTGGCTAGCCCCAAAATCTTCCCGCCTCCATCTCCCAGTGCTGAGATTATAGGCATGAGGTTCCATGCGCCTCTTCTTCTATGAGTGCTGGGGATCTGAACTCAGTTTTCCACACCTGTATGGCAGATACCTTATAAAATGAGCCATCTCCCTAAATAATGTCTGTTGTACCTTTAAAAACTTCTAAGATTTACTTTTTATTATTAATTATGAGTATATATTCTACATGAGTGCAGTATCTGTAGAGGTCAGAAGAGGGTGTCAAATCCCCTAGATCTAGAGTCACACATGCTTGTGAGCAGCCTTCAGTGGGTAATGGGAACTCAGGTCCTCTGTAAAAGTCGTGCATACTCTTTAATTACTGAGCTATCTTTCCAGGCCCAAACTTTGTGTGTGTGTGTGTGTGTGTGTGTGTGTGTGTGTGTGTGTGTGTGTGTGTCTTGTGCTTGTGGGTGACAAGAGGTGGAGAAGGCTCATACCACAGCACAACTGTAGGGTCAGAAGACAACTTTATGGAGTTGGTTCACTGTTACATGGATTCTAGGGATCACAAACTCTTTACCTGCTGAATATCTTGCTGGTCCCACCTGTTATATTTTATTTAATTATTTTATTTAATTATTTAACTATCAACATCTCTTCACTAGTCTTATTTATTCCTCCTAGTGTTATAACAAGACACACTATAGGTACCCAGTAAATGTAATTGAACAGAGATTTGTAAACAAGAAAATAAGATGAAAAACTTAAAAGTCAAATCAAGGGAAGGCAGTATAATTTGCAAAGAGAAATTCTATCACCATATGTATTATTCATTCATAGATAGATATAGATAAACACATACATGTTCAAGCTGACCTCAAATTAAAAATCTCCTGGCTTCAGCCTCCCAAGTGCTAGGATTACAGTCATGTGCCACAACATTCTGCTTTAGAAGACTGGACCAGAAGAACATTTCAAGTCTTTTACTTCAGCTGCATTGTACTTTCAATTACTAACATAACTTTGTAACCATCACCACGATCCCAAAGAATATCAAACATTAAAGCCAATGGCAAAGTGTAGGACTAACTCACTGTTATGCTTGAAGATTCGAATGGTTGCTCCTGACAGTCTGGCTCCTAGAACCAGTGATGCATGGTTCAATTCATCACTCAGAATCAGGCAACCCTGCAATATCACAAGCACAGGTAGGTAAGATACTAACAAATGTTGGTGATCACTGTTTTTCAAAGATGCTTTAGAAACACATGCGGAATCCTAGCCTACACATAATAGTTTCTTCATTCTGTCATTTTAAATATCCAGATACACAGCAACATGTTGTTACTTACACCTAAAATCTAGCAGTCTTTAATAGGTTATAGTACTTTGATTTGAGAGAATTTTGATGTATCGTTTTGCGAGAAATAGCAGCCGTGGAAATAGTGCTTTTCCCTTCACTATTAACATGTCTCAGTTCAGGGAAGAACCTATTTATAAGCCCCAATCACACAGTATGCCAGCTCTGGTTTAGCATCTTAAAATCCCCAAACACACTTTAACACATAAATTAAGGAGAGAGCAAAGTCTGACTCCTTTGGTTGTTTATTTCTTACTCTTCCATCCCTCAAAGGTCCCTGCTAAAATAAAAACTGAGAAACAGATTTCTGTCTTTCAAAAATGGCCTCAACAGGGGATAAGGGTATAAAGCTCAGTGGTAGAGAGTGTTTGCCTGGAATGTACAAGGCCTTGGGTTGGATCCTTGACACTACAACAAACAAATGAGTAAATAAATACATAAGTAAATTTCCACATAAAAATAATTTCATAATTGATGGGGGATGTCATTCTGTAAATACGTTTCTCATACTGGTTAATGAAGAAAGCACTGTTGGCCAATAGGAAAGCAAGATAGGTGAGACTAGGAGACAAGGAGGAAAGAGGAAGTAGTAAGGAGGAGTCAAGATGAAGAGACTGGAAAGAGCACAACGCCAGCCCCTCTCTCCAGTAAGATGAAACCACGTGGAAATACTTAGATTAACAGAAATGGGTTAATACTTAAGACAGAGCTAGCCAATAAAAAACTAGTAACTGGTCAACAGAATTATATCAGATACAGAGTCTCTTGTGCATTATTTGGGGCTGGCGCGGTGGCGGGACAAGACCAACGGCGGGCGGAAAAACCTACTCCTTACACCTAATATCCCAATGACCCAAACAAAAACAACTTAATCAATAAAAGATGGTATTCATAGCTGGAAATGTGGTGATATCTTGTTTGTACCCTAATAAATAAAGCTTGCCTGAAAATCAGAGGGCAGAGCTAGCCACTAGTTAACCATAGAGTCTGAAGGTCTGTACAGACAGATAGGAAGTGATATGGCTGGGCAGAGAGGAATATAAGGTGGGAGGAGACAGGAGCTCAGCCTCTCTTTTCTGCCTGAGGATTTTGTAGAGGTAAGAACTGTAGTGGCTGCTGCTCTGCTTTTCTGATCTTTCAGCTTTCACCTTCTAATATCTGACTCTGGGTTTTTATTATTAAGACCAATTAGATCTCTGAGTTTGAGGCCATCCTGGTCTACCAAGTGAGTTCCAGGACAGTCACCACCTTTAAGAGATCAAACAATACTTACTGCCATTTCAATGATAATTTGGAAGATTAATCTTTAAGGTAGTCCCTTCCATGTTAGTACGAGAGAAATCTAAGTATAACAATGATTTACTAGAGTTCATGGATAAGTTTGACCATATAATTAACAGTAAGCAAAACCCAAATCTGGGGTAATCCACTACTTCTGTCAGGGTGCTATTAGTAAACATCCACACTAAGACGCAAAACAAACAAAGGAGAAAACAACCTCAGGGCTCTGTTCAAGATGACAGTGCTGAGCAGCTACATTTAGAAAGCATTTTACCTTTCCTTATTTGAGCTCTCACAAATTCTATCATATATGGAATGGATATGCAGCTATTAGAGACACACACACACACACAAATATATAACTTAATTATGTATCAAGGTAAATGCACTTTCTTATTTTTATACTTAGGCCAAACTATAAACTTTCTGAATTAAACCTCTCATAATTTTAATCTTTTGGCATTTGTTTTCATCAGAATTCCTACGGGGGTATAGCTGAGTGGTAGAGCATTTGACTGCATCAGAATTCCTACAAAATTGAACAAAAAGAGGGAAGGACCACGGGTTCTAAGAGGAAAACAACTGATATTGGCTCTGCAAGACATACTTGCCAAAAATCTGTGATGGAGTATCTTTGTAAACTGTGCTTTGTGTAATGTTAATAATACCTAAACTGGATCCTAACAAAAGAACATATGTATAAGAGAGCTGCCACACACAGATGGTGCCTTCTTACTTTGCCAACAAGAGCAGGGATGTTCATTGAATTTGTTGCAAACCCCATGCCATAGGTCATAGCAGCTTCCACACCCAAAAACCGCGCTACCAGTTTCTCTAGTTCTTCATGCTTGTCCAGGTTTCCTGTATGAAGAAGTCAATTAATACAATCAGTATCATTCTCAATTTTAAAATTACTACTTTATTAAGAGAAAACAGGACCAGCAAGATAGATCAGTGGATAAAGTCGCTAGCTGCCAAGCCTCACTACCGGAGTTGAATCCCTGGAATGACCATGGTAGATGCAGAGAACCAACTCCTGAGAGTTGCCCTCAGACCCCATATCACACATATGCATGCACACAAATATAATAATATTCTTAGCAGAATGGTGGTGGTGCATGCCTTTAATACCAGCACTCAAGAGGCAGAGGCAGGCGGATTTCTGTGAGTTTGAGGCCAGCCTGGTCTACAAAGAAGAGTTCCAGGACAGCCAGAGCTGTTACACAAAGAAACCCTGTCTCAAAAAACCAAAAATAAATCATGAAAATAAATCAATTCATGTGTTGTAACATCTCCAACTAAGTCCACCAAGAGGCTGGTATTATCAATAGAAACAGCTACAAAAAAACAACAGCTGATGCATTCCGATTCAGCAGTTCTAAAGAAAAAGGAAGATTACTAACTCATGTTTTCACATTCTCATCTCAGATCTAAGCCCTAAAAGATCTAACAGAGTTTTTGTGTCCACATTTTTAAAATACAAAACAGTATAACTGACATTCCAAAACACTGGAAGTGCAAGAACTAAATCTCCATTTATGGATACTTGTAATCCTTAATACAATTAGTGAAAACTGAGAAATAAAAGCATAAGTAATGTCAAAGGGTGAACTGTGTTTCACTAAAAAGATATTCTGAGGGGCTGAGGAGGGAGGCAGCTCTGTGGCAGAACAGATATAGCATGTACAAGGCCCAGAGTCAGATTCCAGAACCAAAACAGTCATAACTCCTTTTCTTTAGAATGTAGCCACTTTGGAAAATCTTCACAAAAATAAGCAAGACAAGTAAGGGCAATGAGATTAGACTAATAACATCCTGGACAAACAGACATAGACAGAGGAGGCACAGAAGAAGACCATATCTGACACACACGGAGACAGCCATGGGACCATAGGCTAGGGAACACTGAGGTGCTGTCAGAGTGAGCTTGGTCATGCTCACACCTCGATCTCATACTTCTACCCTCCACAATTCCCTATTTCTCATTCTTTGTTATAGTCATCCTAGGAAGCCAACAGAGTTGGGAACTGAACTACGAGAGAGAGAGAGAGGTTAAACCTATGTCCTCACCAAGTAGAGGATGACTAGATGAGAGAGGAGTACACTCACAGGCTTAGTACACTCACAGGCTTAAAGGGAGAATCAGTAGCAATCAAGGCAGGCAAGGGTTAAAGCTGGGCTACAAACATGATATATAAAACACACAAAGCCAAGGTTGGGAGAACACATCTGTAATCCCAGCACTCGGAAGAGGATCACAAGTTCAAGGCTAGCCTAGGCTAATAGCTACAAAACTATTTAAGCTTACCTCACCCCTTTCTTTTCAATTCCAACCCCCCCCAAACCATAAACTCTCATTGCTGATGGGATTATACAATAGTGTAGCTGCTCTAGGAAGCAGCTCAAAAAGCTAATCATAGAATTACCATGTGATCTAGCAATGCCACACCTAAGTACACACCCAAGAGAAATGAAAATGTCATTTCAAAAATATATTCTTACAGCCAAAAAGAAGAAATAAACCAAATGTCAGTCAGAGACAGATAAACAGGATGTGGTACATACATGCTATGGGTTATTTAGTCACAAAGCAGAATGGCATGCTGATTCAGTCTATGAAGTACTAATGAATACAGGTAATCTTGTGAACATACTCTAAGTGAACAGAAGCCACACATGAAAGGTCACAATGTTACATGATTCCATGTATATGAAAGTCCAAAGGCAAGTGTTTGTGTATTTCTGACACTAGCACTGTACCTGGTAAGCTCACACTTACCAATCTCCTGGCGAGTGCTGCACACTCCAGCTCCATACTCCTTGAGAACTTCAGCAGCTGCTTCCTGACATGATCCAGTATTCCTTGCAAATCCAAGATAGTTGTAGGAACCCATGTTTATAACACCTTTAATTATATTCCCTGTGTACCTGTGTTTCAATAGAATAAAACTTAATAAATAATACTCACTGCATGCCTAATACTTAAGTGTGACATACATTGTTCACACAAAGCACCCCACATAGAAATAGAGAAGACACTATCTGTAAAAAAGCAGCACAAAATCACCATTAACGAGAGAGATAAAACATACAAAATACAGTTTGCACTGTGCACATGTACAAAATTGTCAAGGAATAAAAATGTACACTTGGATGGCAGAGGCAGGCAGATCTCTGTGAATTCAAGGCCAACCTGGTCTACAAAGCTACACAAAGTAACCCTGTCTCAAAAAACCAAACTAAAACCCCAAAATGCGTCAAATGTTAATTTAAGTGTTAAAATTTTAAAATGTGATAGCCAATGTTGGCTTACAACATTCTTATAATTGAGCCTTCATTCAGTATTTTCTTCTAGAGGGAATTTGGTATTACTTTTCACTGAAAGTTACACATGTGAGCTCACACACGAGGACCCTTTAAGAGCCACTATCCTTCCAAAGGCCCAGAGACCAGTGGTATTACCCCTGTGATGGAGACTCAGTCAGTAAGGACATCACGGTCCAGATGACTGACAGATGGTTCCCCATTGACCTAAGGTGGGAGTAAAGTGCTGAAGCTTCAAGTGCCTAGGATTCGGTACTTACTAGCTAGGGATGGGACACCTACACTATAGTAAAATACTATTAGCCACTACAAATAATGAACTTATGGTGAATATACACATAGGCAAGGCCTTGCCAGTATGTTAGCCAATAAAAAGAGCAAAAAATAATTTATAGCATATGATCCCATTTTTGTGTATTAAAAAAAGTGAGTTTGACACTAACCTTGTCTATAAAGTGAGTTCCAGGACAGCCAGAGCTACATAGTGAGATCCTGTTTCAAAAAATAAACAATACTGGACAGTGGTGGTGGTGATGGCAGCACACACCTTTAATCCCGGCACTCAGCAAACAGGGGCAGGTGAATCTTTGAGTTGAGGCCAGCCTATTTGCAGGACAGCCAGGGTATAACGAGATAACATGTCTTAAAAAACAAAAAAGCCAAGCAACCACCAAAAAAAAAAAAAAAAAAAAAAAAAAAAAAAATTAAAAAAGAGAGAGACAGAAAAGAAACCAAATGACAAAAAAACCCCAAAAGAATCAAATGAAACAAACAAACAAAAAAAAAAAAAATCTTAAATTTCAGTAAGGGCTACAAGTGTTAATTCGCTGGCACAGCACTTGCCCAGCATGCTTGAGAGCCTGGATTTAAACCCCAGCACTCTCTCCAAAAAATATTTCAAGAACAAATAACAGTGTTACCAGGAAACTAATCATATTGTATCTTCAGCAGCTGCTTTTGCTTTAAGAGAATTCTCAAACCAAATTCCTTTGTTACAAAGAAATAGTTTCTAAAACGACTTACTTGAATGACCAGTTGTAGTCATGGGACTTTCTCTCCATGATATCCACCCTGGCTCCTGGCACACTGCAGATGGGTCGGTTCCAGTTGTCTCTTATCCTCATGTAGAGGTTCCTTGTATAGAAGTTCTCGAAGTCCTGATACAATGACACAAAGTCCTGCCAACAAATAGGGAAACAGTATACATTTAACTGATTTACTTAGAGAAAAGTCTGACGATTTTTCTTTTCATATATCAGAATGATGTCAATCAATCATTTAATTAAATAACGTATCAAAATATATTTGGAAAGGCACTGATTCTACGTTTAAGTCTTTTGATCAGATAAAAGTCATTTAGCTCTGGTGTTTGGCCTATATTTCATGATTTCACATGACTAAACCACACGAATGTAGAACTGATTTAACTTAAAGATGGACCCACAGAAATAAAACCATCATAGAACTCACCATTGAATTGTTTCCTTCCTAACAATCTGGAGAAAAACTGCCATCCCATATGTTTCTTACAAATGAAGTGGGGGAAGATACCAGAAAAACCTTTATAATACCAGTTGAGAAGGAGAAAAATACAAAAATACTTCAAAAATTTAAATTTTTATCTTCTGCATATGCTCAAGGATCAAAATCAAGCACCCCCCCAATAAAAGATTAAAAAAATAAAACACTGAAATGTAGATTAGACTAAATCTTTGGCCCTGGACTATTAGAAAGAAATTGAGAATGGTACATTCATTCTGGGCTGGAGAAATAGCTTGTTCCACTTGTACAAGGCCCAGGTTCAATTCCTGGGCCCCACATCAGGCAGCTCACAGCACCTGTAACTCCAGCTTCAGGGTATCCAAATCTTTGCACTGATATGCATATATGTTCACATAAGCACACGCATATACATAATTCAAAACAATATGAACAAATAAATAATCCTCTGGAGGCGTGGCAGGTGGGTTTCTGAGGTTAGCAATGCTCCAAGACAGTAAGAGCTACATTGTGAGACCCTATCTGAAAACAAAGAAGTGTATTCTGACAATGGACTTCCTAGCCCACAGATTTTAGTTTTCCTTTCCTCAAAGATAAAAACTAAAATTTAAGTCAGTAAAAAGTTGAGTTACAAAACAAAAAACAAAGTTAAGTCACAGTAGAGCCGAAATGAATACATAGTACTATTCCTGTGTCAATGTGAACCCTTCCTGGAACACCATGATCAGTCCACATGAGATCTACATCAACTCTCAACTCTCCAAGTTGAAGGGTGAGCCAAGCAGAAAGAAAGCGGAAATGTGCTTTACTGTAATCCACACATCGCTGAGCTTGTAGCCATCAGGTCTGGGCTGGTTGTCAAACGACATTAATCTGTTAAGTAAACCTATCAAAAACATTTTTTAAACCATATGCTTCATATTAAAATGATGCTACATAAAATTCTAGAGTAACTTTTCATTGACTTGGACTCTAAAGGGCCTAAGCCCTAAGCCTCTGAGTAGATATCATCTCTTTAGACAGCTCAGGAGAGTTCTTTGAATGTGAACAACAGATCGTCTCTCTCATAATTCCTTCTAATATTTACCTTTTTCTTAAGGCAAAATAAATGACCTCACATCCTACCATCTCTATCATTGTTCTAAGAAAATAAAGAATATTGGGGCTGGAAAGATGGCTCAGCAGTTTAAAGCATTTGCTGCTTGTACAAGGACCCAAGGCAGTTCCCAGCAGTTACAATTGTCTGTAATCTAGGAGATTCATCGCCTTCTGAACATGGTGCAGAGACAGCTGCAGGCAAGGATCTCATACTTATTTAAAACTGTGTAACAATAATGTGTCTGTCACAACTGGAAGCTAATCCTGTAAATCATCTGTTCTCTTTGATGGTCTCCCCTTCCATTAAGAATAACACACATCACACACACACACACAGTCTTCCATCTTCACACTGACGAGTAACAGTACCCACTTGTATTTTGTTGTTTTGGAGACACAGTCTCATGTTGGCCCAACAGGTTTCAAATTCATCATGTAGCCGAGAGCAACCTTGGCTGACTGGACCTCAGGAGTGCTGAGATGACAGCATGCCCAGTTTATATGGTGGTAGAACTGAACTAAGGGGCTCTGTGCATGGTAGGCAAGCCCTTTATCAACCTTACATCCCCAGCCCCTAACCTCTTTTAGTGAAACCACAATACTGATCATTTCGGTTCATTTTTCCTTATTAGTGTAAACATGCATGTGCACATATGTATATGGTAGGTGTGCATGCCACGGCATTTGAGGAGGTCAGAAGACAGCTTCTTGGAGTTGGTTGTCTCCAACACCTTAACCTGAGTGCCATGGATCCAATTCAGGTCACTAGGCTTGGGCAAGAGCCTTGCACACTGAGGCATCTCACCAGCCCCAATAGACACAATGTTTACAGATATTTTTGCCCTACAAAAATGTTAAATACAAAGAATTATGAGGGAGATGGTGATGTGTTTAGCATATTTGAAGAATCCTTTCTGACTCTAATAAGCTATTTAAGTTTCGTTCAACTATTGTCTAAACATCACACATTAATGTTCAAGTATGAACTCCAAATACATTAAGAAACTGTTTTCTCACAGTCAAATTTTTATTAGCAGCAAAAATGTGATTTAAATACATCAACATGGGGGGAAAAAAAGTTCCCCCTGAGGTAGTGCAGATACCAGAAGGGTTATCAAAGCCAAGACAGGAGGAAAAGGGTGGCAGGCTAGAGCATGGCAGAGCTTTAGCACTCTGTCCTGAACTAAACAGACACAACTAGTGACATCTGCTATCTGTGATTAAGAGAGAAGGAGTGAGTTCAAGTCTCCCAACAGAGAACTTCATGATCATGTATCTCCTTACCCCAGCAAGGGAGCATAGCCGGTCCCTGAGACGGGAGACACCAGCATACCGAATCAGAAGATGGAGCAAGGGGTGTCAGGTCCAACAGAATGGAAGACAGTGGTAGCAGAGAGACTCAACCAAATTTAGCTTCTCTTGAACCCCTTCCTAAGTCCTAAGGTGGCAGCGTCAGTGGCAGTTAAATCTGGAAACAGATCTAAGGACAACTAACTAGATTCTATTAAGCTTAGCCCAGAAGAGAAATTACAACTGAGCACCTCAGTCCCAGACAATCTATTGTGTCTATTGTCTGAAAGACCTTGTCCCTTTGATATTCTAGGACTAAGGAAAGATGGCTCAGTAAGTAAAGGTACTTGCTGCTAAGCCTGTTTACTTACCTCTGTTCAGTCGCTAGAACTCACATGGGAGAAGAGAACTGACTCCTGCATGTCTTTCTCTGACCTCCACACACATGCAAATCACAGTTGACCTCCCCATAAACAGATCCAATTTTCAAAAATTTTAAATACGGACTTATTTTAATTCATTTATTCAAATATATTTTAATGTAGACTTGAAATATGTTGAATTCGTTGACAGACTGTCAAGATACGTTAGAGAACAAAGTGGGTTGATCTCTTTGCAAACAATGAAATCCTATCATTTCTACCCTACTTGACCATTTTTTCCCAACCCTTCCCTTCTAGCTTAGTCACTGTGGAATGACTTTAGTCAGGGCTGACCTACAGTCATGATATTCAGTCATTGAACAAACATTTACAGAGTAGCCCCTTCCAGGCACGAACTGAGCATGAGTGATAAGGTAAGTAAGCAAAATTTCTACACTCCTTGAGGTCTCTGCACAACAGTTGCATACATGAGCATAGCTGATGCCTGGTAAGACAAAGTATGCACTATGAAGGGATCCCTGTTCAGGGATGGAGAAGAGTATTTAATCAGTACAAACAAGTCCAAGCAGCATTCAAAGATGGACATTTTTCCTAAAACCCCTCACTAGTAAATAAATAGAAAGAAGCAGTACTTTCTTGAGACTATACACCAAACTGTTAGGCTCAAAGCTCTCATCAGTTAAAGAGACTCCTTTACTCAAGAGGAAAACTGAAATTCACAGACTTGTTAACTAGGGGTCATTGGAAACACTACCAAAACTAATCTGAGGTCATCTTATTAGACAGTAAATATCTGTTAGTAGCCTATTTAAGGCAAGCCTTTGAGAAAGCATGCTACAGTATTTAAAACAAAGAGATCTCACCTAGGGTAGTGTCTATATGCATGCAGGCCTTCCTTATAATTGTAGGGAACTTTCTGTGTAATTCTTTCCCAACATAGGTGTCTATACATTGTTATATGATGATAACATGGAAAGACAAATAATTATAATAGCAGCAAGAATTCCTGTCTATTATTTATGATACACTGGGGCACTTGCCAATTGCTTAAAATATACATGTTTTTTTCTACATACCTGAATATCTCTGTACCCTCTTACACATGATACTGCTTCTCCAGCTAGAGCCAGAAATCCCAATGCCACACTGCCTCTCACTATGAAAGGCAGGTGGGCAGATGGACACACGCATGCACACGTGCGCGCGTGCACACACACACACACACACACACACACACACACACACACACACACACACCCCACATTGAACTTCCAGATATTCTTGAGATCAGGCTATGGAAGTGGTATGATACAATGCATACAAATACAATTTGCAAGGCAGAGCCACTGTTTTCTTTTTACACCAGTGTAGGTAATCTTCATACAAACCCATAGCAGACCCTCACACTGGCAACACCAGCCAGCTTCCACATTCCATAGCATGATACTTATGACAACAGCATCTTTCAGATCTGGAGTAGCTTCTTAGCTGGGAGAAGAGGCTCTCACACCCCTATCCAGTCCTCTGCAATATTATAAACATTTGGTTCCCTCTCCAATCCAGTGGCCTACAGTAACAGGGGCTAATTCCATAGCAGCTTTTGACGACACTGATACATTCTCTATAATCATGAGTTGAGAAATATTTAATAAGTAACGAGGCTGAAAGGAAACCCTAGCAGTATTCCAAACTAGCAGCCATTGGTAGTAAAGCTACACTTACTTCAAGAAAAATCTTCAATGCTGGTTCTAACTCACCAATTTTCATGTATTTAGAGACTAGGTATTGTGGTTTGGACCAAATGTCTCTTGAAGGCCCATAGCACCCTGAGTGGGAAGTTGTGACCCTTCAGCAGATAGAACCTCACAGAAATTTCATGAGGATATGACCTTGAAGGGGATGGTGAG